CAAGCAAAAGAAGACAGCGAAAATGCGGTAAAGTTCATCGATTATTTCTATGATATTTTGAAACARCAAAAAATATTTTTTTATTCTTTATCTTTGTGTTCATTCATTTATTTATTGCTTCATGTTTTAAATATTTATTTACTCACTCCCTCGTTCATTTTGGCTGTTTTTTTGTTTGTTTATTTGTTATTTAATTTATTAATTGATAAATCATTTATTTCTTTATCATACTTTTACACAGAAAGAGAAATTAGACATGAATCAAAGCAGGTGAATGGTCTTACACTCAGTTGGTTGAGTGTTTTCTTTTGTTTCTTTATCATGCATCATCGTCATTATCAGTCATCTTCAACATCATCATCGTCGTCATGCATCATCATCATCATCATCATCACCACCATCATCATCACAATCATCGTCATCATCACCACCACCATCATCACTATCACCATCATGATCATCATCATCGTCATGCATTATCATAATCGTTGTCATGCATTATCACCATCATCGCCGTCGTCGTCATTATTACAATAGTCCCTTTTACAGTTGCTTGCGCCATCTTGAAAGGTAGCAGTGCCTTTGCATTGAAGCGAGACGAACGGTGAGCTTGCAATGATAGAGACATGTAAATAATTATCCAAGGTGTTAAAAAAGRTCTCTATCATTGCAGGCTCGTCTCGCTTCGATGCAAAGGCACGGCTACCTTTCAAGATGGCGCAGGGAACTGTRAAAGGGACTATTATCACCATGCATCATGATCATTATTATTTTATTTGTTGTTCGTTTACTTGTTTGTTTGKTCATGTCTACTGTTTTTCCCTATGCTAACATCTGCTTACGTGTTCTCACTCCAGGTTGGGTCAGCTGGAAGATTCTCTTCATAGAAGTCAACACTCACTTGAGAAAGCAACCGAAGAACAACAGGTGATTTTTAACTTTTCTTTGAATCAACACTTGTATTATCAACACTACTTGCTCCMTACTTTCAACCAATCAGTAGCTGATTCAACATTCCTCTCTACCAATTAGAAACGGATTCTACACCTCTCTTGACCAATGAGAGGTCCACTCTGCTCTCCCATCGACAAATCACCATATGATTGCATGTGTTATTGTCATGTTGTAATTTTAATTCATTCCCCCAGTTTTAGTTTTTAGCAGGAAATTTTCAGTTTTATTGGTTGAAAAGCAGGATGCTAAGCTGTTATTGTTCTTAATAGGTTCTGTGGCAAAAAGCAGATGACCAACTGGAGAAAATCATAGATCTTATCTGTAGAGAATCTGATATTCCACTTCCGGTAAGATCAACGATACATGTACATTTTACGAGATCCCTGTGGCAGATCGGAAACGAGTTTTGCCTGGATTCGATGTGATGACATCCTGTGGTTTAGCGCACTCGTTCACGTAAATCGMAAGGACCTTTGGGTGCCAAACTATAGAACGAATCTATCTATTATTACTRCCTCGTTCTATTGTTTTATGATCCAATAGGTCCTTTTGGTCCATGTGAACGAGTGCTAACCCATCCTGGGCCGGTCCAGAATGAGCTTCTACTAAGCTGGTGTCTTTTGTTTCTCGACAGACGTTGCTTGCTAGTGGTGGTAGTAATCGACACGACTCACACCATGGAGTGGCTGAAATGATTGTAATTATTGATTATTGTCGAATCCGTATTGTTCTGCTTTACGACATTCTCTAACATACATAAGTACGAAATCTGACTGCGTGACATGACACATGCCATGKGAATGTGTGACATTAATAACGACACATAAATACGTGACATTATGAACAACATATAAATGCGTAACGTTTATGAAGGCATAGAGCAGTTTTCGTGTTTGACTGTAAAAAGCTCACGGCACGAACACGGTCGTGACATGGCAAGGAATACGTCASTYCAATCACATTGCTCGAGAATTTACTCTGCCTCCAATCAAATGCCATTCTCGTACCCAGACCCTTCTCACCAAAATGTCTAATCACCTTGATCACAAGCTGAGAAGGCTTTGGGTACGAGAATKAASRGKTCACGCCAATGTCACGGCACTGCCAGACCAATCACATTGCGCGAGARAAAAATCCACCATCAAAAGTCTAGAAACATCACGGTCGCKGCAAGGCACGCATACGGCACCGAATTTTTCACAGTCATACTGCTCTTTGAATGCGTGACATTAATATCGACACATTAATGCGTGACATTACTAACGACACATAAATGCATGACATGACTAACAACACTTATGAATGCATGACATGACTAAYGACATATAGATGCCTGGCATGACTAACCACATATGTCTTTTGCAGGGGAAGCTAAGATGGCTTAACGAAGAACTTAAAGTACGATTATCATCTGAGCGACGTCTACGAGAACAAGCAGAACTGGGTACTCGAAGAATTCGAGTAAGTCCATTCTTTGAGTTGTGCGTAAATTCATTCAGCTGCGCAAAAACGACTACGCGAATCAAAGAAGAGACCAAAGCTGATTACTGAAGAATCTTGTTGTTTTTCAAAGGACTTGGTCCAGAAAGCTGAAGAGGACAGACAATATTTCGTATCAGAGCTTGATCAACAGTCCTTGTTGCTGGACCAGATGGCATCTCAAAAGAAAGGTAGAATATCGGCTCAGCGTATGAAAAATGTTAAGATTACTCTACCCTGCTCTACTAGTCTTTTTGCAGTTTATGCCAGCATTCCCATGACGTCACATGTTTGTTTAGCTAACAACCCCCCCCCCCCCCCCCCCCCAAGCACAAAGCAGCAATGACCTCAAATAAAGGAAACTGTATTTTCATTTATCCGTTTCCATTTTTTATTTTCGATGTCCTTAACTTGTCAATGTGTTGACTTGTATGTATCACCTTGCCATCACAGGACTCGAGACTAAACATCGTCAGAACTCCGATGACATCAAAGCATTAAAGGTATATGACTGTCTATTAGATTTGTTGGTGAGGCTGCCGCTCAAAAATAAACCTTTTATTCTTGGGCTTAATGTTGTTTTTTTTTTCATTTAAGACCACGTGTCATTCTCTTGAGAATAAGATTCTTCATTTGAGTTGTATCGATACTCATTTGACTTCTCATGCCTTAAAAAAAAACAAGAAATGATACTCCAGAGAATGACACGTGGTCTGAAATTGGAAAACATTATGCCAAGCCCAATAAATATACTAAGCAATGTTCAATTTTTTTCTTCAGGACCGAATCCGGGAACTTACTAAACACTTACAAACCGTAAGTATTTTCTTGAAAACTGGCATATGTTTTTGAATACGGTAGTTGAATTTAAGCCATCTGCCTCCATTAATCAAGAGAAAAGCAAGCTTGTGCAGTAGCTATTTCGGGTTAAATCTTGTGCAATGATTAGTTCTATCATCATTTCACAAGAGATTCACCTCCCACCAAGACAAGTCCACAAGCTTGTTTTTGAGGACAAGAAAATAACTAAATGAATGATACAAGCGAACATGAAAATTCGGCAAAGGCGAAGTACAATGGTTTTTTCGCGCATTTTTTATCATTATCCCGCCAGGCTCGGTGTCGTATGTGAGTAGAGTTGTTTGTTGGTTCTCTTCTGTGCTTCGAGGGTTTTTCTCCAGGTTCTACGGTTTTCCTCCCTCCTCAAAAATCACCTATTAAATTCCAATTTGATCTTGAAGAAAACTCCGGATGTGACGCAGGCTAGCTTTCACCTAGTTATAGCCTATAGCTCTGTTGTGATTGTCCCACGCTATGATTTTTAGATTTTCAGATTAACTTTCAGTCATTTGTTATCAGAGCACACGAGTTCTTCAATCCACRACGGAGGCTCTTGACGATAAACAAAAGGTGATGGAGGAAATCGACGAATTAAAGGTATGAAGTATAATCGCCTCAGTCAAGACATTCTTAGGGTTCAACCACATTACTCAAAAATAACCTTTATATATGAATAACAATGGAACAGCCGCCATCTCTGTTAATCTAACAAGAGAAGCTAAGGGACGGACCATTAGATTTGGGGGAGGGGGGGGGGAGGTTGGGTTGGGCAAAAACCAAAAAAAAAATCGAACACAGCTTTTAAGAGTGAAAAAAAAATCGTGCTTAAGAAAAGTGCCAGAAAAAAATCCAAATTATGTCCAAAAAAATCCTGCACAGCCATGAGGCGTAAAAAAATCCTGCACAAATAAATTGCCCACCCCCACCCCCCCCTCTCAAAAATCTAATGGTGCGTCCCTAATAAGGAATGCTTTGTTATCGTCAACGAACATGGCGGCTATGACGTAACATGCTCCCAAAGATTCCACAGATTCATGAATTGAATTYCTTTCATAGGACGAGAAACAAGAAAGGGATAAAATCCACGACAGATATATAAGGTAAGATAGGACCGCTGTTCTCTTGTGGAAAATAAACCATTGTTTTGTTTTTTTTAAATTTTCGTCTCATTTTTGTCCGCCTTTGCTTTGCTTATTTCCAGATACAAAGAAAAAGTAGGAAGTATACGAAAAGAGTTGCAAGGAATGAAGACAATGGCAGATGAATATAAGGTAAAACATCGAGTTAGTCCAAGTTCTACTCAATCCAAAATAATGTCCAACCATCAGCCATTCCAGGGATGAGTAAAGACAGGGTCTAGTTGGAATGGCAGTGCATCGTGGGACTGTTTTAGGGCACATATTTCCAAGATAATAATAATAAAATCTAAAATCTAMAAATCTACAAAGCTTTTCGCTGTTGTATCRCAGCGTGGGACAATCACAACAGAGCTAGGCTCCAAACTAAGTGAAAGCCCAGAGATCGAATTAGAATTTAGAAGTTGATTTTTGAGGGGGGAGGAAAACCGGAGAACCCGGAAAACCCTCGAAGCACATACGACACTCGAAATCGCCAGGACTCGAACTCGGGCCGCATTGGTGAGAGGCGGCGCATTAGCAGCGCACGCCACCGGTGMTTCCCAATAATAAGATGGCGCCTAATTGGTGTGTACTTTGTCTTTTACCCTACAGCAAGAAAGCCTCGACGCAAGTAATATTTCTTCTAGATTAATAGAGGTAAGATATGCTTTCTTTACCTTGTCAGAATACGAGTACAGTTTYACGATGCACGTTTTTGCAACTCGTGTTGTCCTATCAAGCCTTCAACCCGACCTTGTGACTTAAACATCAGGGCCCAGCTGTACGAAGCCTGGATAGCGCTATCCGACGCATAAATCTCATCCAGTGGATAATCCTACTGGATAACAGCATCGTCTTATCCACTGGATAAGATTTATCCGTCAGATAGCGCTATTTACCCTTCGTGCAACCGGGCCCAGGCGTTTCAATCACAGTTCCACCAACTACCAAAATCTTTTTTATGGTCTATAGCAAGAGAATATKAAGCTTCATATTCTCTWGYCTATAGTCGAAAATGACTCTATTTCCACCAATCAGAAATAACGCCTGATTTATTCCATTTTTCATGATCATAGAGTTTGGATAAATTATCCAGCCCGAAAGCTAAACAGCGTCGGCTTCATTTTCCCGACACATCTTCCACAATAAGGTAATGTAATGTTATATATGACAGAGATGTGTTCGTATGACTGTGAAAAGCTCAKTGCCTTATRCCTCCCTTGACGCAAACGTGATGTTTTCTAGAATTTTCATTGGCWGATTTTTTTTCTYGCGCAATGGGATTGGTCTGGCATATGGTCTCAGCTTTGTAGCTTTTTAAGTAACTAACTCTATTGAAATAAGTATATATATGCAAATGCAAGAACTTCAAGTGCTAGAGCTGAAGTGGTTCGGATGATCACGGTAATAAGTTTCCATATTGTGAGTTTTGATGTGAAATCTGCTGTAATGCGAAGTCGAAATCGTAGATTACAACACTACTGATTCTTAATCCTTAAGACGACTCACAAAAGACTATTATCCTATTACCTACAGACCTGGGTCTAAACCAAGCTACACGGCCACAGGGGAACTGTCTCCAGCCTCGTCAGACGGTACATTATCAGTCTTATCTCAGGATTGTGAGTACAAGAGAACCTTTATATTGACTTTATATATTAACTTGACCAATTTTTGTGTCACAAGCGAAGTTTTCGAGCCGCCATGTTTGTTTTCTTGTACTATTTGGCGCATGCGCATACGTTTTTCAGTCATGCAACTCTTTAATCTAGACTCTTCCACAGTCTCTCGCTCGTCCGTTCCGTCTCCACGCTTAGAGACTGTAACGGTACAATGACCGAAAGGACTTATGGGTCCCNCCCCCCCTCTCAAAAATCTAATGGTGCGTCCCTAATAAGGAATGCTTTGTTATCGTCAACGAACATGGCGGCTATGACGTAACATGCTCCCAAAGATTCCACAGATTCATGAATTGAATTTCTTTCATAGGACGAGAAACAAGAAAGGGATAAAATCCACGACAGATATATAAGGTAAGATAGGACCGCTGTTCTCTTGTGGAAAATAAACCATTGTTTTGTTTTTTTTAAATTTTCGTCTCATTTTTGTCCGCCTTTGCTTTGCTTATTTCCAGATACAAAGAAAAAGTAGGAAGTATACGAAAAGAGTTGCAAGGAATGAAGACAATGGCAGATGAATATAAGGTAAAACATCGAGTTAGTCCAAGTTCTACTCAATCCAAAATAATGTCCAACCATCAGCCATTCCAGGGATGAGTAAAGACAGGGTCTAGTTGGAATGGCAGTGCATCGTGGGACTGTTTTAGGGCACATATTTCCAAGATAATAATAATAAAATCTAAAATCTAMAAATCTACAAAGCTTTTCGCTGTTGTATCGCAGCGTGGGACAATCACAACAGAGCTAGGCTCCAAACTAAGTGAAAGCCCAGAGATCGAATTAGAATTTAGAAGTTGATTTTTGAGGGGGGAGGAAAACCGGAGAACCCGGAAAACCCTCGAAGCACATACGACACTCGAAATCGCCAGGACTCGAACTCGGGCCGCATTGGTGAGAGGCGGCGCATTAGCAGCGCACGCCACCGGTGMTTCCCAATAATAAGATGGCGCCTAATTGGTGTGTACTTTGTCTTTTACCCTACAGCAAGAAAGCCTCGACGCAAGTAATATTTCTTCTAGATTAATAGAGGTAAGATATGCTTTCTTTACCTTGTCAGAATACGAGTACAGTTTCACGATGCACGTTTTTGCAACTCGTGTTGTCCTATCAAGCCTTCAACCCGACCTTGTGACTTAAACATCAGGGCCCAGCTGTACGAAGCCTGGATAGCGCTATCCGACGCATAAATCTCATCCAGTGGATAATCCTACTGGATAACAGCATCGTCTTATCCACTGGATAAGATTTATCCGTCAGATAGCGCTATTTACCCTTCGTGCAACCGGGCCCAGGCGTTTCAATCACAGTTCCACCAACTACCAAAATCTTTTTTATGGTCTATAGCAAGAGAATATKAAGCTTCATATTCTCTWGYCTATAGTCGAAAATGACTCTATTTCCACCAATCAGAAATAACGCCTGATTTATTCCATTTATCATGATCATAGACTTTGGATAAGTTATCCAGCCCGAAAGCTAAACAGCGTCGGCTTCATTTTCCCGACACATCTTCCACAATAAGGTAATGTAATGTTATATATGACAGAGATGTGTTCGTATGACTGTGAAAAGCTCAKTGCCTTATRCCTCCCTTGACGCAAACGTGATGTTTTCTAGAATTTTCATTGGCWGATTTTTTTTCTYGCGCAATGGGATTGGTCTGGCATATGGTCTCAGCTTTGTAGCTTTTTAAGTAACTAACTCTATTGAAATAAGTATATATATGCAAATGCAAGAACTTCAAGTGCTAGAGCTGAAGTGGTTCGGATGATCACGGTAATAAGTTTCCATATTGTGAGTTTTGATGTGAAATCTGCTGTAATGCGAAGTCGAAATCGTAGATTACAACACTACTGATTCTTAATCCTTAAGACGACTCACAAAAGACTATTATCCTATTACCTACAGACCTGGGTCTAAACCAAGCTACACGGCCACAGGGGAACTGTCTCCAGCCTCGTCAGACGGTACATTATCAGTCTTATCTCAGGATTGTGAGTACAAGAGAACCTTTATATTGACTTTATATGTTAACTTGACCAATTTTCGTGTCACAAGCGAAGTTTTCGAGCCGCCATGTTTGTTTTCTTGTACTATTTGGCGCATGCGCATACGTTTTTCAGTCATGCAACTCTTTAATCTAGACTCTTCCACAGTCTCTCGCTCGTCCGTTCCGTCTCCACGCTTAGAGACTGTAACGGTACAATGACCGAAAGGACTTATGGGTCCCAAAAACTTGGACCCAGCGTGCTTTGGGATCCAAAATACTCGTCCACAGTCTCTCTCGTTTTCGCCACCATCTTGAAAATATTGAAACGAGAGAGACTGTGGACAAGTATTTTGGTTCCCAAAGCATGCTGGGTCCAAGTTTTCGGGACCCATAAGTCCTTTCGGTCATTGTACCGTTACAGTCTCTAAGCGTGGAGACGGAACGGACGAGCGAGAGACTGTGGAAGAGTCTACTCTTTAATCTCGTACCCAGAGCCATTATTTCTTACTGCGCATGCTCGAGRAAWTAATTATTATAATTACCATTATTTCGTCGAGCATGCGCAGTAAGAAATAAGGGATCTGGGTACCGTCATTTTGGTCCAAAACAAGTCCAATTATCACATGTTCAAATTTGCGGTTTCATTTCTATTCAGATTCTTTTTCGCCATCATTCAAATCGGACAGAAAAAGAACTGCTAAGCGAGGACCGTCGTCTCGAACACCAGGATCCATGTTGTACGCTGATCTTGACTACAAAGAAAGGTAAATTATCATAGAAATTTATTTATGTCTGGGAAAAAAACCCTGAATTTACTACTTTCCATACTTCCGTTAAATGTTCAAATACAAAGCCGACGTTTATTCGCGGTACATTAGCATGAAGAGACAGCAAAAGTCAAAACCAAATTATTGTTTGTACTTTATTTTTTTCCGSTCCGGTATCCTAAAAAGTCGTGCGTTCTGATTGGCTGTTTGAGCGGGCGGTATTTTGTCARTATCTGCCCGCGCGCGCGGTCCGGTATCCTTTGCTGCTAAACAACAAAACAAAACGATGTCAAAAACAAGAAAAAATAAACACGGGAAAAAACAAATAAGTTATTTACCGTCCTATAGTTAGTCCGGATAGGCTAACTAACTTCACTGAAATAAGTGTATACATGTGATAACAAATTCGAGAGACGTTAATAACATATTGATAAGATTCCCGTGGATTTGGAGGGAACTTCACGCGCCAAAACGGGCAGCTTTGCGACTCTCGTTACGTCTCTGAAAATTACAAATTTGGGCATTCCTTTTATTTTACCTCAGTCGCTCCAATTAAATCTTTGAGTTGGKGTGCGTTTGAATTGGTCTGTGACGATTTGTTTCTTTTGTTTGTTGCACTTAGGCCTTCATGGATTGATGCAGCATCGCCATATGAAGAGGTCAGTTAGATTCGCTCAATACACCACCCTTGCTTTAGACAAAAATATTTATTTWAAAAAATAGTCCCACGGAGAGAAACGTCGAAGCAGGAAAATGAAAATATAAAGAAAATGTGGGGGTCATAAGGCGATATCTTTTTTGCTAAGGGAAGCTGAATACCGTAAAGTAGAGTACGCGGATTATAATTGAAATGTCAGAAGAATGGACTACGTTCGGTGTGATGAATGAAATAAACAATGAGGTAAAAATATCACTTGTCCTTTAGGAATTGGACTTGAACCAAAATAGCCTTTATTTACAACAACAACAACAACAACAACAAGTGCTATTTTCTATTTGTTTCAGGCGGAGAGGGAACAGCAAATCTAAATGCGCATAAATTATACAAGAACACGTTGATATACAGCCCATGGAACATATAAAACTAGACTATTATTTATCTTAATCTCTGTATAAAACTAAGCAATCCAGGTCAAATAAAACATCTAAATGACAAGAATAGAACCATTGCCTACAATTCTGCCAACTTTAAGGCTGTTCCGAGCTTTAGAAATGAAGATATTGGGTATTTAAGCTCGTATCGTCAAGATACCAGCCCTAGATTCGCCTCTCCTCGTAAACATGCTTCACAAGAAGTATATAAAACTGGGAGAGCATTACTACCAAAACCAAGGGCCCTTGATTAGTCTACRGTGGCGTTTCCTTCGAGTACTACTTTTGGGCGATGTCTTTTTTTCTATTATGGTCCTGGTACACTGCTTCGACTGCTYCTAGCCATGTAGCCGGGTTCTCTCCAAGAACGTTCGTTAGCTTTGTCATGGAATATTCTCTGGTCTTTGAAATAACGTCTCATGCTCTTGTTCATCTTATTCTAGTTGTTCTTTTTCATCTCGTTCTTCTGCTACCTCTTCTGCGTCTACTTTGAGATTTTTTTGAAATTCACATTCGGCCGKTTGAACCAATATGATTAGTGGTTTGGGTGAAACTGGGGTGCGAAGAAACKCCATGTCATAAATGCAGTCCAACGGCTCACTAGTAGTTTCCAAGACGATATCATTTCTTTCTTTTACTCCTGGGTCGACTGAGTTCGACTTTTGTTGACTGAATGATTCTTGGAAACTGATTAGAATAACTTTCAACATTTTAAAATTGTGTTAGTTCAATTAGCTCCTTGATAAGGTCTATCTAACGAGAATATATAATTGGACTGACGGCTACCATATGCTAGCTATAATGATTCACTCCACGTGAACCTCATGGGCATGTATGCCCTTTAACATAATACCGGTTTTGTTCATTCCCTTAGCTTGGATAAAACCGGTTTTACACCATCGCATGATGGCAGCCATGAGTACCTCAAGGGCGGATCCAGCCAAAAT